AAAACTTACTTTATTAATATTGGGTGTTTTTTTTCAGGTAACTTATGATATAGTCCATGCTTGTTAAAAATGTTCTCATTGCAAATACCTAAAAAGAACAGTCACTTTGAAGTTATATAACTGGAAGTTACAAAATTTAAAATATCTCGAATGGGTCTCTGTATAATAAGGAAAGACTATACATGATATTCAAAGCAATTATAATTTACTAAGTTAGAATGTAGTTTTCAAATGTAGTAGTTGCAAATTCTTACAGATGTTTTTCAATGAAGTCCAATTTTAATACTTTATCTTGATTTATTTGTTGCTGTTTTTTCAGATTAATGACCTCTGAGTTTTTAAAGAATTCTAGTTCTATAAGGAGAACTCCATTGAAAACTACCTCTTCTCACTATTTAGGGACTTTGAAAGTCTTGGATCAAAAGTCCTCACACAAACAGAACAAAGAACCTGACAAAGCAGATAACATAAGGGCAGCTGTTTATCAGGTAAAAAGTAATAACAATAATAATAATTGTAAGAACTAATCACATAAGGTTACCTGTTTATCAAGGAATAAAATTACCCCATCAGAAATGATAATTTAATAATTTATTGGGAAATATATCTTTTATAATACCCCAGCAATCTTTATATATTAGAACTAAGGGCCCAGTGCACGAATTCGTGCACCTCAAAAGGAATTGTGGGCCACCAGGCTGAAGTAGGCACAGGGGTGGGTCTCAGCCTATCCTCCACACCCCCGCGTGGCCCCTGGTCCTCTGTCTGCCGACACCCTGTTCCCACCACCGCTGCCCCCACGTGCTGACAGTGCTGGCTCCGCTCGCACTTGCTGACAGCATGGATTGACTGGGACCGGCACCAGCAGTGGGTGCAAGCAGGACTGGCACCGTCAGCTGGTGTGAGTGGTGGCTGCTGCCCCAATCCGCCTTCAGGAGCAGGGGGATGTGGAGAATCCCTCAGAGGCAATCAGGGCCGGCAGCCTCCACTCACACCCTCTGATGGTGCCAAGCGATTGGGACTGGCACCGGGCACCAGCAACAGGTGTGAGGGGCGGCTCTGGCGCTGGCTGTGGGTGTGAGCAGCAGCTCTGACGCTGGCAGTGGGTGCAAGCACCAGGTGGGACTGTGGTGCGCGGAAACAAAAAATTTTTAGTAACCACCAGAGGCTTGCCCTGATGACAGCAACTGGCACCTGCCTTGGTCTGGTGCCCCCACTCACCTGCTCCACCATCCCACCGCATCCCTGGTGCCCCCACTCACCTGCTCCACCACCCCACCGCAGCCGACGCCCATCATGTTCTGCACACACCCCCTGGTGGCCAGCGCACGTCATAGTGACCGATTATTCAGTTGTTCCGGTTGTTCTGCTGTTCAGTCTATTTGCATATTAGCCTTTTATTATATAGGATATTATCAGAAAAAGAAAAATAATATAGAATTTATAAAATCTATTTCGATTTCTATAGTTTTTAATATAATATTTCAGAAATATATAAGAACTCAAATTCATTTTGGAATGAATAAAGCTTTGAATATCATAGCTTTATTCTTGTTCTCACAGGAGTGGTTAGAGAAGAAAAATGTAAAAATACATGAAAAGCACAGAATTAAAAGGATTGAAAGTGAAAATTCAAGGATCCAAAATGAACAGGTATTCTGAAACATAAAAGTAAACAATATTCTAGATTTTTAAGTCAGTAAAACATGTCAGTATTAAATATTTCTAAATCAACTGTTTTTTAAATGGCAGAATAACTTGTATATAAAAGAATTGATTTCTGATTTTCTCTGGAGCTTTATACATTTTTAGCTTGATATAAATGTTGTAACTATTTTATATGAAAAACAGATACACAGATTTTTATTTTTTATATGTATGGAATAGCTTTAGCACTACTGATTATGAACTTAATTATGGCTTGTGACTACTTACCTACTTCACTCTTAAAAATTGATTTATATTCTTACAACTTAGCCAAGAATATAAAGGGCCATTAACATTAATCTTGTTTTCCTTTTTCTAACTTGGATTTCATATGTAACTTTAAGACCAGCCCCTACCTGAGCCCTTGACCCACATCCTTCCCATTGACTGGAGCTGAACTCTTGTTTACTTCTCTCCTGTGCTTCAACCTCTGCCTCTAACTCCTACTTGATAGTCTAGCATGCTGAGTTCTTTACCATATTCTAAAATAAAAGCCCTGAGGGAAAAAACAACAAAAAAAAACAACCTAGCAACAACAAAAAATTTTCATTATGCTGTATAGTATTTAAGTAGGTTTAGAAAGAAATTTCCCAAACACAGTACTGTGTGGAGCAGCCCTGAAGAGGGCGTGTCTGTACACCTGTACCATGTTTGTAGCATCTTAGTGCTGTGGTCAGTGCCAGACACTTCTTAGTTGATCCTCACAACTCAGTGAGTTAGGTAGTCCTTCTACTTCTAAATTATGTTATCTCCATAATAAGGCTTTATATCACTTAATGTTAACCAGTATTAAGGCAATCATGGGATATAATGGGATTAGATGGAAGCATGTAAAGTAATAACATTCACCTACATATTTTCCAGTCTGCCACATGTTCACCATTTGAACTATGTTTACAGAGTAAGAATTTATTCTTTGATGTCAATCAAAACTCTGTTCAAAGCAAAGATCTGAAGCTTACTGTGTGATGTGGCCAAATTCCCTTACTTGGAATTTCTTTATAAGCCTAGTACTTTGCTGTTTTTCTTTTACTTAAATATTTTATTATGAACATTTTACAGTACCACTGAGCCTATTACAGATTATATTGCTAATGTTTGTATACACTTTGAAAAAAAGTTGATTTCCTTCCCATGAATAGTAATAGATCAATAGCTGATAAAATGTATTTTTGTAAAGGACATTTTAAAATGCAGTGAATAATTCAGAATATATTTTTCATAAATTAATTTGTACAAACCATTCTAAATAAATTATCTGCTTTGAAACAATTTATATATATGATGCATATCAAGGAAATTAAAGCTAAATATATTTGGGGGTATATTTATATTTGTCTAGCTATTTGTACATACATGTATAACTATCTACTTTTTCTCCAAAATAGAAAAGAGCTGCTAAGAGAGAAGAAGCCTTAGCGTCATTTGAGGCCTGGAAGGCTATGAAGGAAAAGGAAGCTAAGAAAATAGCTGCAAAAAAAAGGCTTGAGGCCAAAAACAAAAAGAAAACTGAAGAAGAAAATGCTGTGAGAAAAGAAGAAGCACAACATGTATCTGACAGCTTTGAATATTTTAATTCATTTTAAAGATCTGAAATCTGAATTAGTGATTGACTGTATTTTTACTGACTTTACAATATTCATAATAAATCAGAAAATCATTCTGACTTTTTCAGGCTTTTGAAAGATGGAAAGAAAAAAAGATAGAATATCTTAAAGAGAAAATTAAAAAGGAAAAAGAATATGAAAGAGCAAAGAAACAGAAGGAGGAGGAAACTATTGCTGAGAAAAAGAAAGACAACCAAACTGCTGTGGAAAAATGGTAATCCAAAATAATCAATATTTTGATAGATTTTAAATTGATGGTACTCTAGGATTTCTAAAAATTATTTACTTGAAATTTACTAATGCATCTCGATTTCCTTATTTCAAAGATATATTAGGAAATGTTTATTATATGTTCTCCTTTAACTGTCCAGTGTTTTATACTATCCTACATAGGAATGAAAAAAAGGAAGCTTTTTTGAAAGAAAAGGGGAAAGAGAAAATCAATGAAAAAAGGAAAGAAGAACTGAAAAGAGCTGAGAAAAAAGATAAAGATAAACAAGCTATTGATGAATATGAAAAATGGCTGGTAGGTTTTGTTTGCTAATGCACTTATATATTTTCAATGTATTTTTTATGTGATGTTTTTGTCCCTAATTTAAGTTCCCTACTGACCACTTCTATCAGGAAGCTACCCTATTGAATTCATTCTCTCATTTCTCATTTCTTTGCCTTCCTTCTCAGTGTCACTTGTTGACTTCTTTTTTCAGTCGGTGTTCTATTTCCATGGCATGCAAGGTCTCATAATCTTATTCATCTATCTTTTATTCACATCTGGTACCCCTCTCCTATCTTCCACCAGCTTTTATTCGCACTGGGTCTCTTGTTTCTGCTCACATCCACAGTTTCCCCCCCTTGTCAGAGCTCCCACACCTGTTCTTTCTCCTTGAAATGCTCTCTCTTCTTTGCGTCATGAGTGGCTTCTCTTATCCATCATGTTTCACTTTCAAATGACTGTTCCTGGATCTACTTTTCTTTGAAAGTGCTCCCTTTTGTTCTTTAACAAACTTATCAATTCCACTGAGCCAAACCGGTTTCGGCATGAGTGGCTTCTCTTTTCTATCATGTTTCACTTTCAAATGACTGTTCCTGTATCCACTTTTCTTTGAAAGTGCTCCCTTTTGTTCTTTTACAAACTTACCAGTTTGTTTATATGTTTTATAAAAATTCACATAATTTGGATTGTCTGTTCTTTAATTGTTTATTAACATCCATTTTACAAGTGGCCTGAGGGAGAAGGGTCATATCAGTGTGTTTGGATTTTATAATCAGTTTATGCATGGTACCCTGAGTAGCATCTCAGTGCTTAACAGTTGAACGGATAAATACAAATTGAAGCAGAATAGTACCAGTACCAGTAGAATAATAGACCCACAGGACACCGCAGAACCTATTACAAGTAAGGATGTACTATCTATCTATATATATAAAAGACTAAGTGACCGAACAATCGGTCACTGTGACACGCATTGACCACCAGGGGGCAGACACTCAATGCAGGAGCTGCCCCCTGGTGGTCAGTGCACTCCCACAAGGGGAGCACTGCTCAGCTGACTGACAGGTGCCAGAGGCAGGGCTCACAGCTGGCAAGCGCCACTATGGCGGTGCAAGCCTCACCACTACAGTGCATGCAAGCCTCTCCCAATCAGGACTGACTGGGTGCAAGCCCACAGCAGGCACAGCAGGGCTGAGATGAACAGGAGCAGCAGGCAGGAGCCTCAGGTGGTGTTGGACTGCTGGTTTCAGCCCAACCCCCACAGGCCACGCCAAGGGACCCCACCAGTGCACGAATCCATGCACCGGGCCTCTAGTATATATATAAAAGCCCAGTGACCAAATGGCAGAACGATCAGAATGACTGGTCAACCGGTTGCTATGGTGCACACCACCAGAGGGCAGATGCTCAATGCAGGAGCTGCCCCCTGGTGGTCAGTGTGCTCCCACAGCACGCCGATCCCCGCAGGCCACGCCCCACCAGTGCACGAATCCATGCACTGGGCCTCTAGTATGTATAATAAAGTAACATGAACTAATGAATGCAAGAAAATAACAATTGGGATTATTTGTGTGACAGTTGGACATAAATCAGTTCTCAGAATTACCACTTACAGTAATAGAAACTCCAAAAGACAGTATCCTATATAATGAAAGACTAATATGCAAATTGACTGAATGGCCAAATGACCAGTCACTATGACGCCCACTGACCACCAGGGGGCAGACGCTCAACGCAGGAGCTGCCTCCTGGTTGTCAGTGTGCTCCCATAAGGGGAGCGCCACTCAGCCAGCAGCCAGGCTCATGGCTGGTGAGCACAGCAGCAGTGATGGGAGCCTCTCCTGCCTCAGGCAGCACTAAGGAGCAGCGAGCTAAAAGGTAAGGAGCGAAGGGTCCTGGACTGCGAGAGGGTGCAGGCCGGGCTGAGGGACCCCAACCCCCAAGTGCAAGAATTTTGTGCACTGAACTTCTAGTTAAATATAAAGTGCCAGAGAGTAGAACCAAAAGAAAATAAAATGTAATATCTATCAAATCGCATGGTAATAAGATCCTTTTAAAAATCTAAGTGTTATAAGAAATAACAAAAGAAAACATTCAATTTAAAATCATTAATGTATCAAAATAAAAAGCATAGGTGTTGGTTGGAGGGTTAATTCTTACAGCCTCTTTGGAGAATAAATTTCCCAGCAGAGTTGAACATATTCTTACTCTACAAATGAGCAATTTCACTCCTGCACATGTACATGGAGAGAAAATCTTGTATTATAACCACAAGGAATAAACAGGTTTGTTTATAGTATCATTGTCTGTGTGGAGGGAGAAAAGAGAACATGTCTTCAACAAAAGAATTGATTCATAAATTGTTACATGTTGATGCACATCAGGGAAGTAGAGCTAAAGCTCTATGTAGATGAGCCTTAGAAATATGACGAATTAAAAAGGAAGTGACAACAGAAAATATAGCACATTACCTTTCAATATAAATTCTAGAAACCTGCAAAACAAAATTATGTATTATTCTGACATAAATACATCTATACTAATAAAAGAGAAACATGCAAACTGGTGTCACTCCGCTACGCCCACCAGCCAATCAGCGAATATGCAAATTAACCCCAAAATATGGCGGTTAATTTGCATACATAGGCGCGGAGCGAAGACTGAAGAGGCTTGCAGCTGCATCGGAGAAGCCAAGCCTTGCTGTGGCCGCAGCAGAGAAGCCAAGCCTCGCTGCAGCTGGAGGGGAAAAGCCTAGCCTCGAGGTTTGGCTTCTCCGCTGTGGCCAGACCAAAGGCCTGGGTCCCGGGTGCCTGAGGAAAACCAGTCCCAGCAGCCAGGGGAAGGAAGGCCTGTTGCGCGAATTTTCATGCAACGGGCTTCTAGTATATAATGAAAGTATTAAGAGATGCAATGATAGGCCTCAAGGTCAAAGTAATGGTTACTTCATTGTGATGGAGAGGAAGGAAGGTGAGATGAGGGAGTGCACGAAAGTATTGATCATGTTTTATTTCATAAGGCTCCACAGGTTTTGATTATATCACTCTTTAAACCGTTGTCTATTCCTAAAATATTTATCTTATATTTTTGTAAAAACCAAGGACTAAAAGTAATGGTAGATAAAATGTCTGCTATAAAGCTAATATTTATTAAATGATATGTAACTTGCTAAAAATTAAAAACTCTGATATACCCTTACACTTAAGATGAACCAAATAATTGAGCAAAATCTCACAAAAGGGCTAAAGAAATGATGCGCCCAAGCTCAAAAATAAGCAAAGAAACATGAGGCTCAATTTTCAACTATTTGTAAAAGATCTGAAATATTCCTTGCTGCCATGATCTGTTCAACCTTTATACCTAATAAACTTACTTCTGAGAACCTGGTCTCAGAAAATGATCACTAACTTAGACCAATTATTATCTTTGAGTTATGGAGTTACAGGTCTTCTTTCCTGGTTTACATCATTCTTTTTAAAAATCACTTTTAATATTTAAAAAATTAAGTGCTGCATTAATACCTATTTTTATTATAAAGTAGCAGTATTCCCTAGCTGCTATTTCTTTTTAACCAATTAAACTAGGAAATGACATTTAAATATCTTATAATGGTCTAGAGGCCCGGTGCACAAAAATTTGTGCACTCAGGGGCGTGTCCCTCAGCCCGCCCTGTGTCCTCTCACAGTCTGGGACCCCTCAGGGGATGTCCACCTGCTGGCTTAAGCCCACTTCCTGGGGGGATCGGGCCTAAGCTGGCAGTCAGACATCCCTCTGGCAGCCCAGGAGCTCTCGGCGGACATCCACTTGCCAATGGGGAGCAGGCCTAAGCTGTAGTTGGACATCCTTAGCACTGCTGAGGCGGGAGAGGCTCCCGCCACCACCACTGTGCTGGTAGCTGTCAGCCTGGCTTGTGGCTGAGCCGAGTTCCCCCTGTGGGAGTGGCCTGACCACCAGGTGCAGCTTCTGCATTAAGTGTCTGCCCCCTGGTGGTCAGTGTGTGTCATAGTGACCAGTCATTCCCAGTCTTTCTGCTGTTAGGGTCAATTTGCATATTACCCTTTTATTATATAGGATAGAGGCCTGGTGCATGGGTAGGGGCTGGCTGGTTTGCCCTGAAGGGTGTCCCAGATCAGAGTGGGGTCCCGCTTGGTTGCCTGGCCAGCCTGGGTGAGGGGCTGAGGGCTGTTTTCAGGCTGGCCACACCCCCCGGTGACCCAAGCTCCCAGCCTCTCCTTTTTTTCTTTTTTTTCCTGGGATTTATTTATCTTCTATAATTGAAACTCTGTAGCCTTGAGCGGAGCTGAAGGCCGGCCAGGGCAGGCGGGACCCAAGCCTCCTGCTTGCTCCAGCTCCATGGCCGCCACCATCTTAGTTGGGTTAATTTGCATACTCGCTCCTGATTGGCTGGTGGGAATGGCTGGTGGGCATGACTTGAGCATAGCAGAGGGATGGTTAATTTGCACATTTTTCTTTTATTATATAGGATTATTTTATTCTGTTTATACATGTATATAAATTTATAGTTTTCTCCTTTCTTTTTAGGAAAAGAAAGAAAGGCAGGAAAGAATGGAACGAAAAATAAAGAAACGTCATTCCTTTCTTGAAAATGAGGCACTTCCTCCATGGAGTCCTCCAAGCAGAACTGTGTTCTCAAAAATGATTTGATAATTCTACTTCTTACGTTATTTAGTTACTCAGTAATGTTAGCCATAGTTTTAAAACTACATATCCAGTTATTTATAGTTAGAATATTTATTTTAAATTAAATGCCAGCCACTTCTGATCATGAAAAGGATGCTTTGGAGCTTAACCAGTGAAAACACTGAAAGTGGTTTTTGAGCTGTAGATAAACCGCCTCAAATGAAAAGCTCTAATCATCAGAATGCTCTTACCTTTAAAATACCCTTTATTATGTACTGAGGATTCTTACAATCAGGTGATCAGTGATCACTTTCTCTATGCCGTTCAGGTTATTTAAGTATGTTTATTCCAAATAGTAAAAAGGAAACCATTTAGGTACAATAACTATAGAAATAATTGAATTTATATATGATTATACATCTAGATTCAGGTTTTTAAATGAATGGCTGCTGGGGAGTATGACTATATTATTCTAAAATTGATCTTTAGCTCAAAGCAATTGCATTTGCACTTTGCAAGCTAGAATTTTGGTCAACTGAGGGAGTAGTTCAGTAGAATGCTAATCATTGAGGCATTTTATTTAAGAATTCTGTCTTATGTTTTAATATGAATGAGCTTTACCTGTTCTAGGCTTATGTGACAATCACAGGCACTTTGTCATAGGGAGACCTCTGAAATTTGTCTTTTTAAATTCTATCTCGCGTTATTCTTTCAGTGATACCAAAAAGATATCCATTCCATGGTAGTGATATACTTACATATTAGTTAAGGAAATTCCACAAGAATTCAAGGTCATTATCATTCTTAATTATTTTCCAGATTGAAGCCATAAAATTGATAAAAGCAATTTTTGTCCTTTTAACTAATCCAGAATCTTATAGCTTGTATTTGGAAGGCAGCTGTATGTATGAGAAAGTAACTTGTAGAAAATGTCCAGTCAGGTTTTATTTATTAGATCTCTGCATATCCTTCTATTTATTGGACTCATACTTGAATTGGTCAGCTAGTTTATCACAGACCAAGTGAACGCTCTCGGAGTTGAAATGCTACTTTAGCCAACGTGCAATGCAATAATGGATAAGAATAAGCAGTTACTATTTATTAAGCACCTATTTTATTCTCTCTGCTGAGTCTTTACAAATGTTATTTCCATCTTTACAACAACTCATCAGCGTAGGTATTATTAGCCTTATTTTGCAGATAAAATACTGAGACTCAGAGAAATCAAGTAAGTTGCCACACTCGTAGCATGTGACTGAGTTGGAATTAGCTAGACCTGATTAAGTGGGTCACCCTCCAGAAGCCACATGCCCATTTCATGCTCTCACGTGGCCTCTGAGAAGTTTCTCAAGCCCTTTGTGTTATATCAAACTTAAAACACATTTTACCTCTCAGATCCTACAATCACGTATTATTATCCAGAGATTATCTTTCCCTTAAGAAATAGCTGTAGACATCTATAAAGTAGAAACAGAATTCATAATATTTAAGGATTTAGTCAAATGCTTTGTATCTAGGATTAGAATGTTAGAAAAACCAGCAGGTTATGGAATATAGGCGTTGAGATAGTCACTCAGGAGTTTCACACTCTGAGAATTAATCTTGATACAGTGAATATGCAAGGTAAGAAAGATGTCATGGGTCCCTTTGTAAGGTCACATCAGTGCTACCGACAAATAGACGACATTTTTATACAGCCTGAACTAGGAGAATACTTAATCATTACCAGCAACATGTATTATCAGCATGGAATTTAGGACCTCTTACTCATCTGTGTGTCCCCCATAGTACCATACACAGTGCCTACCAGAATAGATCGTTTAGTGCTAATTGCATCTAACTAGCTGTTCAAAGCTAAAAATATACTTGCA